TTTTCGATAAGTCGTTATGTGAAACAGTCTGTGGTGGACGAGAGTGAAAATGGAACGCACGCTATTTGTTGTTTGTGTATATCACGCAGTCTGTTCCTCTTCTCTCTGTGTATCACGCAATCTGTCTTCCGGTTGTTGCCTTTTTTGAATGACGAATACACACAACCGCCGCCTGCTGGTAAGGAGAGTTATTGCCATTCACGCATGCGCAGTGCGTACGTGCAACTTGGCTGAAGTCTTTGCGGTGTGTTCCAGTGCGATTTTTTAGCCAAGACGCAGGAGACGTGAGGCGACACAACAATCGGGTCTGTCGGGACGTGTTCTTTGGTGTCAGTTTGGTGTGTCAGGGCCTTTAATTTCAAAGGTCCAAGTCATATGCAGCTGATTGTGAGAGTCAAGCAACTTTCAATCCCAACCAACAGTCTTTACCAGTGGATGACGTTTGCTCGTTTGTCATTAATAGAGTCAGTGGTCTCAGTTTACCTCAGTTTGCCCCTCATCTATAACCACAGCTGAGGTGCCCTTGTGCAAAGCCCTCAGGACTTCAGTATGCTTCAAACTAAAAGTACTTGATGGATCAGAGGCAGGCTCATTTTTTAAATAAGATGGGGGCTGACAAAACCTACCTATGATTTATTGTGAGACTAAATAAAACCCCTTTGCCACTTGCCGCTTACTTTGTGCCGAAAACTTGGAAAAGAGCACGCTCTAAATGCACTTGAACCATGCACTTTACATCATGTGCTATAAGGTAGATCCGTTAAATAGGACGCTTGATGTTTCTGATATTTCCAAGTAGAGTACCATACTAAATGCATTGCAACACTGTTAAATATTCTCCCCACCTCTCATTAAAACACCTGACCTCCACATGCCTGCCTTTTTCTACTTGGTACACACCCTCGCAGGCCCAGTGGGAAAGGTCACGGATTGTACTCCCTGGAGGACATGGCATATGGGAATGAGGCGAAAATGAAACATGGGGTCTTGAGTTGAGCTTTAATTTCCCTGGGGCTGCGCACGCTACCTCAGAATATCTTCTGATTACAAGTGGAGAGTTAACCCTAATAAATTCCAGGCAGGCACCAGTGATTTCTGACAATGGACGGATAAATGGTGGACGTCGACATCTATGAATGGCCCTGCAGCCCATCAGCAAAAACGTACAATAAGCTATGAGGGAGGAGACGTAGAATCGACATTTCACATTCATGAATGCTACCTGAATCATTTGGAGAACACAGAGGCGGGGAAAGAAAAAGGACTGCAAGCAAGGAAGGAAAAATATCCTTAGAATAGACATAGTAATTAGCCAATATGCGATGCAAACAGCTGTAAAGAAATATGGGGTCCAATCCACCAACAAAAATACCTAGTTGGATTTCATTTCCTCCATCCAGAAACATCTAAATCTACATGGATAAATAATCGTCCATTGTCTGTTCATAAGCCTTATAAATGTCCAGGATCAATTACAAATAGCTCGAATATGCGACGACCGCGCTGCATCATGTGTCAGGAGTGCCATCGAGTTCAAAGTGAAACTTGCTTTCTGCGCTCAGAAGATATCCTTGTGGTAGTCTTAATAATTCTGTTTTGTGATAAACTTCAGAGGGTTAAATATCGGCCAGTCCTTTTTAAACAAAACTTCTGCTACAGGAAAAATGCCCGTAAATAAAAAAGAGATTTATGATGAAAGTATGTTTGGTCATGGTAAATGGACTGTACTTATATAGCGCTTTATCCAGTCTTTACGACCCCTCAAAGCGCTTTACATACTACAGGTCATCATTCAACCTTTCACACCGGGAGCATCTCAAGGTTAAGTATCTTGCCCAAGGATACATCGACATGTTGAATGCATGGGCTGGGATTCGAACCCACTACCTACTTTTTGAAAGATGCCCGCACTCCCTCGCAGCCCAGTCATATTCTAGTATAAGAAGCCTCTCTGTTTCCTGATCTACTCCTGTTCTGTTCCTCAACACTTCCTCCATGCTTACCTATTGTCTTGCTGTTGTCAGTAAAACATGCCATACTCACCCTGAGCTGCCCTGAGTTTATCTTTTCAAACACAAATACTTTTACACTCACTAAATACCACTTTAATCAAGCTGTAATTGGTTCTACTCTGCCTTTTTTGTTCAGTGTTATCAGAAATAAACAATACAACTCTTATTAAACTGATATTTCACATTTAAAGGCTTCCCAGCAGCTTAAACAGCATAATCCTTCATTTGGGAAATGAAAAAACATTAGCAGGAAGTGTTTTCTCGATTGTGGCTTACACTGACAAAACAAAAATGTAGAGGTGATTGGAATTAATGAACATAATATTTCTGTTAGGAAAAGATAGTGAAAGAAGCGGAGGGGTGAATAATGGAAGTAGTGAAAATCTGCTGAATTTACCAACTGGGCCATTAGGGTTATTCTAGTTCTAGTAATTAAATTGCTGTTTTTTAGAATAGTGTGTGGTTACTACATGTTAACTCCTTGCCTCATTACTTTCTTAGAGTAAACCCCTTGCATGATGGTGGCCTATAAGAGCCTGATACATTTAATGACCAGATAAAATAAGAGCTGTGCTGGCTGAATCATGGCACTGCATCGGCCCCTCCTCACTGTCTCTATAAGTAACATAAAGAAAGCTGAAGCCTGAGAGTAACATTTATTGAACGTGTCTTGCTGGACTGTGATGCTTTAAAGATAATGGGGCAGGACAGTTTGGCCAGACTGGACAGTAAAGGGAATTGGTTGCAGAGGTGCTGCATTGGAGTCAACTGCTAATTAAGATTGATCCAAACTCCTTCTGGCTGTGCTGCACTATTGGACAGCACCCCCTATAAATCTTTGAGGTGACACACCACCGCCTCCTTCCCTCCTCCTGTCTACGTGCCTACCTCAATATTTACACTCTCCTCCTTTCACTACCTGCCAGGGACACACTCGCAGGACTTTGTGTCCTATCGCCTCCACACTTCTTGTATGTCTTCTTTCTTAACTTTAAGGTCTGACTTTGCTAAGAAAAAGTGCTTTTCTATCGTCTAACAGTCTCTGAAGCCTCACTTCCAATGGCAGAATCGGGTAGGGCTGCGTTCAAGAAAGTGTGAAGCAATTAGGCAACTAGTTAGTCACACGTGTGATGGTTTGGGAAGTTTTCATGCTGTAGCTGTTTCAATCAGACACAACGGAAATCTGAGTAAAGATCCTGGTGTCATAGAAAGGGTTGAGGAGACTCCAGATTATTTAAATATGTAATGCCTTCGTCGTTGAAAGATGAGCCCTATGTTGTTTATATGAAAACTGACAGAAGTTGATGTGTAACAAATGAAAAGACGAGCTTGAGATAGAAGGTTACATTTGATGTGAGAACATTTTCGGAAAGGGTTTCCAAAGCTGCTCTAACATCCACAAAAGCAGTTCTAAACAAGCATCCTTGAACAGACAACCCGACAATCATGCCTCCTTAATGCATTGAACATCTTCACTCTTAAGCTTTCTCTTTTCAATTTTAACAACTTCTTTCAGTTCATTAAAACATAGCAAGCTACTTGTTCAGCCTTCTAACTAGGGGTGCAACAACTAATCGACTTAATCGATTGCCAAATTAGTTGCCAACTAATTCAGTCGTCGATTCGTTGGTGACGTCATCACATGTGTTTTACGCGCCGTTAAGCTCCAACGTTATTGGTCTTTTTATCGGTACTGGAGACATTTAAAAAATATATGTCATGTATTCTTGCTACAAAAACATTATATCGCAGTCTTAGTGTCGCTAACTCGTTTCTAATATGCAAAAAGACAAACAAATGCGTCTATGATGTATTTTCGATCAGACGAGATCTCTCTCCCCGTCTGTGTGCGAGGGGGCGGGGCAGTTTACACACACGCAGCTGCTACATGCAGCAACACACTGCGGAGATGGCGAAGAGAACGCGCTCCGTCTAGATGTGGAGAATGCTCGTTGCCAAAAGTGCAATAAGAGTTTAGCATGTAAGGGCGGTAACACGAGCAATTTGTCTAAACATTTATCAAAAGTGCTCCACATTCAGACGGAGGAATGCACCGGGTTCGACTGTCTTTCTAGTAGCTCTGTAGCCCCATCCACGAGTAACGTTTCCACGTCAGGTGTTATGTATGCTAGCAGCAACACACGGAGTTAACTACATTATACAAACATGGGTTAATGATTAGAGGTAACTGAGTTATTTATTTTGTTAAAGTTTCAGCTATTCTGTTTACAGTTCTGTCATCAGATTATGTAATACGATTTGTTAAAACACTGTTGTTTCTTTTGATGTGAAATATATTATTTATTTAATTTAAATTAAAAGCTATGTTAATTTTGTTCAAAATGTGTTTAGTTAATTTAATAATATATGTATTTTTGAATCAAGTATTCATCTTTATTGTCTTCATTGTTAGTTTCCACATGCCTAAAACAACCTCAAGCTAAATCTAAAAGTTGATGGCTAAATAAGAGCATTTGAGAAATTGTGCAAGGCATACAGTAATAGTCCGAATAGTCGATTAATCGTTTCATTAATCGATAGATTAATCGATTATCAAATTAGTCGTTTGTTGCAGCCCTACTTCTAACACCACCTGTGTAACACAAAGCTTCAATCTACGACTCCACAGCATATTGATTTAAAAAGGAACAATCCTACATGTGGTGATTTTCTCCACAGGAGGGATAAATCAACCGTTCTTGAGAACGCGTGGGGAGGGAGAAGATAACTTAAGACCGACAGCTGCTGAGAGAGATTTAGTCTGACACTAGGCATTGATGGGGAAGTTCATTTGAAACCCACAGGGCTACAATAATTGTTACAATTCCAATAAATAGAGCAACTGGCTGATGTCCTTTAACCATAACATTTAAAACACAAAGAAAGGATAATGTATCATCAGTTTCAAGACAAAACAAACACCAAAAGGGAAAATAGTACCTGCACATTCAGCGAAATTGTGATTATAGTTAAATAAAAGGGAATTACCTTTGAACTTGTGAAAGACGGCCCAGAGCTCGGCAATGTCGGTTGCGAATGTGATGTCCGTATCCAGGACGATGACCCTCTGCAGGTCGGACGGCAGCGTCTTAGTGAGCACCAGCTTCATCAGGCCGTAGATCCCAGAGTAATGCTTGTTGGGGATCCACGACACCTCAGACTGACACAGCAAACAAAGCAAGGTTGGAATTATTTGCTGTTAAATTGACTGGATTTAAAAAACATGTTTTTTGTATAAACATCTTTCTCAATAGTTAGGTTAACAGAACTTCTCCAGAGGATAAAAGAAGACGGCAAACAGATCATTAAGCACTACGACACATCACATTAAGTTCAATTCAGTGTCCATGAGAGAAGTTAGGAAAAACATAGGTGAAGAGGAGATATGTTCTTCACCTTTAGCTCATCTGCATCGTAGAAGTCGACGCTAACGGCAGGGACCATCCAGGTGTGGAACAGAGAGGACAGGATCTGCTGAGCTATGGAGTCTGTGATGAAATGGAAATGTAGTGGGTTCCGCCTGTGGACAAAAACGAATACCCAAACATGAAAAAGCTCTAGGATCTTTTACAGCAAAAACATCCTGATTCAAATGTACTTCAAAGGTTCAGACAGAGTTATTTGCTACACTGACACACACACACAGTAGGAACTTTTCACCACTGCCACATGCTGAATTTCCACTCAAAATAAAAGTGGTTTGGGGTTTTCATACAGAATATAAAATAGTGCCAGATGATAAAAAAAAATGTAAATAGTCAAAAGATCAATACCTATGCAATAACAACCGAGATATGTTGACTTTACGTTTAGCTTATTGGTCAATCAACAATAATCATAGATCTTTTATTTCTATATTGCTTTATAGCATATTTCTTATAATAGTAGCATATAACCAATATGTAGCACAGGCCTTGTACTACAAAAGACAACTCAGATGTCATAATACAACTGGTTTATTAGGCCGCTGCTTTTAATTGAGCTGCCCATACTCACACTACAGTATGCCTTTTTAGTCATGTATTCTGTACCTGCTGCTGTGTTTATTATTTCATTTATTTCATTACCTTTGCTTATTATGCCTGTTTTTAAATGCCTTTTTAATAATGTATTTATGCTGTATTTGTTCTTAAATGTCTTTTGCTTTTAATCTGTAAAGCACTTTGAATCGCCACGTGCTGAAAAGTGCTATATAAATAAAATTGCCTTGCCTTGCCTAATACTGTCCATAACAAGGCAATTGAATTTAACAAGGGCTGGCTTTGAAACATCAGTATATTTTTTATGTACAGACCTAAATCTATCCATAGCACAGAGTTTCAAAACATAACATGATCAGATATATCATTCTGTTTACACACGAACAGAAAGCCCCTGATTTTAATCCGAATTTTGACACATTTGGACTCTTATTTGGGCAAAAATAACTAGCTAATTCTGGTTGAGGATAAGGGGTCTTATAGAAGAATATATACATTACATGGTTATTACAAAGGTTACTGTGTTTGTAATGGTTCTGAGACTCAGAGATGTTATTGAGCAAGAAGTGAAAATGACACTGAAACCAGCCTGCCTCCTGCTCATGTAGACCATGTGATGAATGAACACTCCCTGAACAAGCGAGTAATTGCTGCTTGAGAGAATGTTTAGTCAACGATATAGTTTGGAAATGAGTGCATGCAGTCAGCCCTGATGCTGGTGTAGTGAAGGAATCGATTCATCAGAAAAATAAGCGTGCTCTGAACTGTATCTCACAGTTCGCACACATGGAAGAGTGGGAGTATGCAAAATAGGTATTCAAGACTTCCGAATCAGGTCAAGAAATAGTGACACTGAGCTGAGGATGTGAGCACCCTCGGGTGTCTTGTGCTGAAAGACTTTGGGAATGAATGTGTCAGCTGCACTTTCTCAATAAGTACCGGGGGGCTGTGAGCTGTCAAAATGTATCGGAACTATGACTCCATACAAGCTGTCAGCAACAGCAGTGAGAATAAAGAAAGGGTCTTTACATCCCCCGGACAAACAGCAACAAGCCATTCACTGGATGCTTGGAATCCTGCCGATACAGAACCAAGTATATCAAGAGCATCCTGATCATCAGAACTGGGCCCGTGATGATCTAATCTTCATAATGCAATATGGTTATCTTGTTTTAAAGACTTTCAGAGCGGACACTAACAGATTCTCTCACATGTGCTCATTGAAGGGCTGATCTGAACCTGAGCATGTATCTCTGTGTAGTCACTTCCAATTACAGGTTCCAATACCTAATGTCAACATACTGGCTGTTGAGATTGAGTTTTCATTTTAGATTCATAAATAGCACTAATCTTTCTTTAGAAGCTTTGTCTCTTTGTAGTCCATGTGCATCTCTTTGTAGTCGCATTGCGTCTCTTTATATTAGTGGGATCGCCTTTGGAAAATGTTTTAACAGCCACATCAAAGTTAAAAAGGTTCTAACAGCGTTAATACACCAAAGCATTTCAGTTGAGCATAGCTCCATCTCTTTTACTTACAAACAAAAACTAACTTCCTTCTTTTTTTAATCATCAAGGACATCGAATGTCTATCCTTTCCTTTCCTAAATATTTATTTACTACATTTATTTTGTGAATACCCAATTTTCAGGCCAGAATCAATTCCATTAGGGTTATAATGCTTTTAATTGAACTATTCACATCTTAAACTGCACTGTAACTTTTATCCATGTATTTTTTCTTTTAATGTTTCTTTTATTATCTTTTCTTTTTAATGACTGATTTTAAATGCCATTTTCTTAATGTCTTTCGTTTTTTGTAAAGCACTTTGAATTGCCTTGTGTTGAAAGGTGCTATATAAATAAACTTGCCTTGCCTTGCCTTATAGTTGCAGTGGATCACATTGGTGCATCCCTGTAGTGTAGAGCAGTGGCTTTAGCCGATATAAATTAAAACATATTTTTCTCAGTGGTTGTTGTAAGCAAGCATGATACGATGACATCATTTGGATACAATGAGTTGTTTTCGATCTAGTTTGGAAGTGTGAAAGTGGAAACCAGAGAACTTGGATAATGTATGATTGTCAACCTTCACAAAGCATTGACATCCATTGTGGTTTATCTCGCCTATGTCCACATATCATGACCATAACATGAGTTGCAGTAACTACTCCTTCCACTTTTGCATCTGATAGAACAGTTTTCATGTGTATATCCACAAAAAGTCACTTGTCAGTAATAAATACATCGGTTAAAGCAGAGTCCTGATGCTGTTTTTTCTGGTAAGGGCAGTCTCGGATTATCCCAACAGGACAGCTGCTGTCGGACAGATGTGAATGATGAGAGGCCCTGCCATCTGACTGAATACAGCAGAAAGCTACCATCTCTCATGTGGGACAATGAGCTTCTACAGAGCTCTCCATCACTGAGCCATGAGATGAACTGGTGGCCGATATTAGATTTACAGCGCAGGTTAAACAACATATGGCTGGCTGGGAATTACCTCACAGTGTAGTACAGTCACTGGCATATATCGCTTGAATCTTGTTTCACGGTGAATTTATAGCATATCTAATATTCCATCACAAATCGACAATATAGAGACGAAATCCAGGTGGAGAGTATTTGATAGAAGCTGCATGTCAGCTTATCTCAGGGTCAGGTGGTGTTTGACAATCAATGTCCCATCCTCATCCTTTCGATCATTCAGCAGAAAGCGGCACGCGGGATGACATTCCAAAAGGCTGACCTCTCGGGCATCTGTCCATTCACATATTTGTCACTCAGCGGAAACACAGAGAGCCAACATTTAAACTTCCCCTCTGATTAAAAAGGGCCTGCAGGCGTTAGCACATTGGCTATGCTGCTGGTGATCGGTCCTCCACAAGAAAACTTCAACAGTCATCTGATAAATTATGGGGGGGGGGGGGTCTGTAACTTCAGCCTGCACGAGTCCTCCTTTAGGTGGAGGTCATTCTATAAATCACTATATTAATCTCGGGAGACCAGTTATGCTGAGGTCTTAAATGTATAATTTCTTCTGACTACTCTACAAATTTGGTCAAAGCAAATAATTGAATGACTTTTTGAAAAGCAGACTAATGGCACTTGACTTCCTTGACTTTATGATCCATGACTTCCTTTTTTTTCATATTTATATCAGTGATGCAAACACAGGTATGGTGAAAAAAGAGAGAACTATTCGAAGCAGAAAAAAAGGCCTGTGCTATAATGCTTCAATTAACTGGCTATTCTTTATAATATACTATACTCAGATCAATAGGAGACAGAGATGTTAAGTTATACATCAAGGGTTTTTATTATTATTTACGCAGGGGTGGGGAACCTTTTTCCTTTCAATTTTTACAACATCCTCCGAGGGCCGTACAAATGATTGAACTCAACCTCTGCTTAAAAAAACTAAAATCACAGCCCATTCATTTCGCCTTTCTTTCATGTTGTGCAAAAAAAAAAGCAACCTCTTAATCCAGATATCTCACCATGACTCGCGCATGCATGTGCACGGTTGTGGCATGACCACCAAAACAGAAAGATATGTACACAAGATGTGTGCAAACGTATTTAGTATCCTATCCATGTGATTTTTTTTTAAACTATTGACGTTAAAAGCATCAATCTGGTGCACTTTGAGAGCAACATTAGGACATCTATGGATACATCTCAACACCCATATGAAACAGAACTGTAAGCAGATTCTTCTTTTTGGATATTTTACAAATCACTCCCCTTTTAAACTCTATTCTTGTTATTTTTAACAACTTTTTTGTTACTGTCATATAGTATTTTATACCTGTTTTTCATTTAGTCTCTAATGTCTCATTAATAACTATAATGATCATATCAAGGTGTGCCTTAACCTCACTGAGCTGAGGTTATGTGAGCCTCTCAGGAGAGAGCTCTCTTCCACCTGGTTGTAGAAAAGCTCTTTAATTTCGTTAGCATAGCTAGCTAACCAGATGCTAATAACAACAGATCGCCACTGTGCTTACAACTAAAGACACAGCCACGCAAACACTGCGGTGTGTACGGCTCCTTATGGGTACTGCAATATTTGAAGAGCTGGAGCGGCGTTCCGGTGCTCTGTAAGCACGTCTAGTCTACACTCCTTTCAGACGAGACATATACTGGAGCGTTAGCTTCAGCGTCAGACAGACGAAGACTGACAAAGACATTGGAGTCCTGCGGGAGTCACGAGGGTGGCAAAGAGGAGGCAAATCCTAGTCTGATTGAGCTAAATATCGCTGGTGTTTTATTTTATTTTATTTAGTTTTCTAGCCCCTCAGGCTATAATCATGTGTATTTTCTCCATTCCTGTTCATGTGTCTTCTCGCAATTATCACTGGCCCCGTGTATCTCCTAATCGATATAACCGCCATGCTCTCGTCTATCCCACATGCTCCACTGAGATCCAACATCTAGTTTCAGGTGGCCTGTGGAACTGCGAGTCAGCTGTTCCTAAGGCTGACTTCATCTCTGGCTACGTCTCCCTGCAGACCCTGGATTTCATTGCTCTCACTGAGACCTGGATTACTCCATCCAACACATCCACCCCAGCAGCTCTCTCCACAGCATACTCCTTCTCCCATACACCCAGACCCACTGGCAGAGGAGGTGGCACTGGTCTCCTGCTCTCTCCCAAATGGAGCTTTTCTCTCTTCAAGCTACCTAACTTCACTCCTTCCACCTTTGAATTCCATGCTGTCACAGTAACCCATCCTATACAATTAACCATTGTTGTTCTCTACCGTCCACCAGGGGCCTTGGGGGACTTCTTGGAGGAATTAGATAATCTCCTCTCACACATCCCTGAAACTGGTCCTCCCGCTGTACTTCTCGGAGACTTCAACCTCCAGACAGGGAAGATAGACGAACTAACATCTCTGTTAACCACCTTTGCTTTCTCACTGTCTCCATCCCCACCAACTCATAAAGCTGGCAATGTCCTTGATCTCATATTCTCAAGGAACTGCACTACTTCTAACCTCTCTGTAAACCCGCTCCACACATCCGATCACTTCTTCATTTCATTCTCTCTACCCCTTTCCAAACATAACAAACTAATCTCTTCTCATCCTGCACCTGTCCGCCGTAACCTTCATTCCCTCTCCCCCTCTACCTTTGCCTCATCTGTGCTCTCAGCCCTCCCTTCCTCTGACTCGTTCCAACTTCTGCCTCCAAACTCTGCTGCAGAAACTCTCCTCTCTACTCTCTCATCCTCTCTGGACTCTCTCTGTCCTCTCACATCTCGGCAGCCTCGTCAGTCCCCTTCTGCTCCCTGGCTAAATGACGCACTGCGTGCTAATAGAACCGTCCTTAGGGCAGCAGAGCGGAAACGGTGGAAATCCAAACACCAAGACGACCTCCTAACCTATCAGGCTCTCCTCTCCTCTTTCTCTGCTTCGATCTCTCAGGCAAAAAGCACTTTCTTTCAAGATAAGATCCAATCTTCCTATTCCAATCCCAAAAAACTATTTTCAATCTTTTCCACCCTCTTGGACCCCCCCAAAGCCCCTTCCCCCTCCTCCCTTCTATCAAGCGACTTTGTTAACCACTTTGAAAAAAAGGTTGATGATATTCGCTCTTCTTTTTCTGACTCACCTTTACTCACCGCTGGGTCACCAGACCCTCCTTCCACCAACACACTTACCTCCTTTTCCCCTCTCTCTCCAAGTGAGGTTCTTACCCTCATTACCTCTGCCCGTCCTACCACCTGTCCTCTGGACCCTATCCCCTCAAACCTACTTCAGACTATCGCTCCTGATATTCTACCGTTTCTCACCCATTTCATCAATACTTCTCTAACTTCTGGTCACTTTCCAAACAGTCTCAAGGAGGCAAGAGTAAACCCTCTCCTAAAGAAACCCACTCTCAACCCGTCTGATGTTATAAACTACAGGCCTGTCTCTCTACTCCCGTTCCTGTCTAAAACACTTGAACGCGCTGTCTTTAAACAACTCTCCTGTTATCTCCATCAGAACAACCTTCTGGATCCGCACCAGTCTGGTTTCAAGGCAGGTCACTCCACAGAAACTGCTCTCATTGCTGTCACGGAGGAACTGCACACTGCCAAAGCAGCCTCCCTCTCCTCTGTCATCATCCTTTTGGACCCGTCTGCTGCATTCGACACGGTGAACCATCAGATCCTCCTTCGCACTCTCCAAAAACTTGGAGTTTCAGGCTCTGCACTTTCCCTCCTCACCTCATACCTCAAAGACCGTACCTACAGGGTAACTTGGAGAGGGTCCGAATCCGACCCTTGTTAATTAACTACAGGGGTGCCTCAGGGCTCTGTTCTTTGTCCCCTCCTCTTCTCCTTGTACACAAACTCGCTCGGATCAGTCATTAGCCCGCATGGTTTTTCATACCACTGCTACGCTGACGACACCCAATTAATTCTGTCCTTTCCCCGCTCAGAGACCCAGGTCGTCGCATGCATCTCTGCTTGTCTCTCAGTGGATGTCTGCTCATCACCTCAAGCTCAACCTTGACAAGACTGAACTGCTTTTCCTTCCGGGAAAGGATTGTCCCACTCTTGACCTAACAATCAACATCGGCACCTCTGTTGTTTCCCCGACTCAGACTGCAAGGAATCTGGGTGTGACCCTAGATAACAAACTGTCCTTCACTGCAAACATCGCTGCTACAACCCGCTGCTGCAGATACACGCTTTACAACATTAGGAGGATACGTCCCCGGCTGACCCAGAAAACAACGCAGGTTCTGGTCCAGGCTCTCGTCATCTCACGCCTAGACTACTGCAACTCCCTCCTGGCTGGTCTACCTGCATGTGCCATCCGACCTCTGCAGCTCATCCAGAATGCAGCGGCTCGTCTGGTCTTCAACCTTCCAACATTTTTCCACACCACGCCGCTCCTCCACTCACTTCACTGGCTTCCGGTAACTGCTAGAATCCACTTCAAAACAATGGTACTTGCGTACCATGCTGCGAATGGATCTGGCCCTTCCTACATCCAGGACATGGTTAAACTGTACACCCCAGCGCGTGCACTACGCTCTGCATCAGCCAAACGACTCGCTGCACCCTCGCTGCGAGGGGGATCCAAGTTCACATCAGCAAAAACTGATGGGTTTGCTATCCTGGCTCCAAAAGGGTGGAATGAGCTCCCCATTGAAATCAGGACAGCAGAAAGCCTGCACATCTTCCGGCGCAGACTGAAAACTCATCTCTTTCGACTTCACTTCGAGCGATAGAATTACTAACAAAGAACTGCTAAGAAAGCACTTATATACTAATAAAAGGACTGGCTTATCTATAGCCAGTTAAGTAGCACTTGAAATGTCTGGCTCTATGAAACCTGATGTACTTATATGATTCTGTTTTCTTCAAGGTTGTGTCTTCCTGGTCGAATGTACTTATTGTAAGTCGCTTTGGATAAAAGCGTCAGCTAAATGCAATGTAATGTAATATACCACGTGAAGAAATGTTACGCTCGTGTTGTGTTCAAGGAACCTGTCCTTGGCCAGGAAAAACAGGCAGTCGCTTGTTTAATTATTTTGCGGTTTAGATTTCTTCTTCTTTTTTGAAGTGAGAAGTTGTCCGTCAGTCGGACGGACAGACGGACGGACCCCCCCCCAAAACGAAAACTCTTCGGTTCTCCACGAATTACACAAGTCACCCAAATCAGCGTTAAAAAAGCAGGAGGCGCCGAAAAGCGACTAATTTGCATCACTGTTATATACTTGTTTAGCCTTTGGACAATAAAGACAGTAAAAAGTCATGCGGCACTTAATGCTTCCAACCATTGATCATGTATGGAATGGATTACTTTAACTAAAGACAAAATCTAAATTTGATACTTAAGAGGGCAGATCTGAAGTTTAACAGAGCATTTTCTTAGATGATTTTTAAGCAGATATATGGATATCTGGGACAATGACATCATTAATGTGTTCTGGTTTGAATTATTAGGTGAAAGATGTAGTACAGATGATTTCAGTTGGTTTAAAAGAGTTATACAATATGTTGACTTATGAGCAACCCCCTGTCACATTAAAGCATAATAACAGTCTGAAGATGTATCAGCAATAGTTGAAGTTTCCAGCTGAATAAAATATCATTGCACTCATGATTAATTTACCTGCAAATCAGGAGCTAATTAAGATGGAGCCATAGAAGCTGTAAGGCCCAATGCACAGGGACTGATTCATAATCAATCCTCCATATACAACTCATATTAAACTATTCATTATTCATGTTTACACAAGACGGCAAACAGTAAAGTTTCACACTACTTTACATTCATGTCAGATATTTTAACATTGAAGTGCTGCAAATATTGCCAGATATGTACATAGATTTATTACCAAAAGTGATTATTTCTGCCAATTACTGTTCTATAAATGGCATACATATAATTTCTATGAGACCTGGTTGGAGTTAGAAGGATATTAAGTGAAAAAAGAGCATTTCTGTACCTGTGGAAAAGGACGGATTTAACCAACGTCACCACATCTCGACTGGCGTTGTAACCTGCACACACGATGGCCACATGTATCGTCTGATGGGTTATAAAGAATAGATAGAAAGAGGGAAAAAAATGGTTAGAAAAGAGAGAAATTCACTCACACATGCACAGAGAAGAGAAAACACAACAAAAAGAAAAAATGTATTTGTATTTACATTAAATTACCAGTCATCTGGTGGATGACTGGGGGGGGGGGGGATCTTTAGCTCTACCCTTCTGCATGAGGTTGGGGTCATATTTATTTTGTTTTATCATTTGAGGACTATATTGTATGTTAAAATGCTGTACATGTACATTACCAAATGTGATTATTTCTGCTAATTACTGTTCTATAAATAGCATACATATAATTTCTAAGAGCTCTGGGGCCTCATTTATAAACGGTGCGTACGCTCAAAAGATGGCGTACGCCAGTTTCTAAGCAATCTTTGCGATTTATAAAAAACAAACTTGACGGGAAATGTGCGGTCCTCCACGCAAACTGTGACCCATGCGTACGCACAAAAACGGGAGAGACGAGAAACTGTTGGCAGAAGGAAGAATGGAGAGAAATATGTGGAAATAATACCATCAATAAAATGTTACCTCTCATTTATCATATATGAAGAATTAATGTTCACAAATTGATTAAAGCCAATCGTAAAATGATTAAACAAACGCCTGTTTGAGACTCCTCCACAAAAACATAACTTGGATAAATAAATAAATACGGAAATGTTATTGATCACCCCTCGATTATGTTCTCTTGAGAAATGTATTCTCATAAATGATGCGGTAAACAGAAGGACAGAATTACTTTAAACTGACGCCGTTTTGCTTTTCAATAGGTTGTATAGATACGAGCATGGTTTTAAACTATCATGTTTAATCATGTTTTATGCCGTTCCCCAATACTTGATAAATCGCTCGTAAAACACAGGAGGTATGGAAACTAAGAACACCATATGTGGTAAATTGTACAGCTAATATAACACAACACATTAGTTTTATTTCCTTAAACTGGTGGATATAGAGTTGCTGCGGGGGGGTTGAGACGCACAGGCTGCAGTGGAGACACTGCGCACAGCTGATCGACAGCTGTGCGCAGTGTCACTCCGGAGGGATTCCCCGATCATTTCTTACAGTTTCTCATTAAGGGGGCGTCTCCTGTTTCCGGTACAAACACACTGCCTGAGGAAGGTTAGGCTATGTGTATTTTTTTTGTCATTAGCCTTTTTCGGACCACTTGTTTATTTATTTTGGTGACGATCCGACCTCCATGCTGCTACTCTGGTTCAAACTGCATCCACCAAACAATATGATTTATCTCGACCTCCCCAAAAGAACCAAAATCTGACACGGTGTCAGATGTCTTTTTTAGCTGTTCTGTCGTAATTTCCTGCGATCTTCTTCATGCAGTCAGTCAAAATGAATATTAATACGGGGCGTTTCTTTGACTATTTATAGGCAAATATGGGCGTTACGTGAAGCCCGCAAAAGCTGCGCCGCATTTCGAGTTGCATGTCCTACGCTGGTACGCAGTGTTTTATAAATCGGAAAATGTCTGTGCGTATTTATTTGCTTTGTCCTACGTAAGCAACATTCCCACGTGAAGGCTTTATAAATGAGGCCCCTGGTTGTAGTAAGAAGGCTATTAAAGGTCACCTATTGTGCAAAATCCACTTTTTCATGTATTTTCTACATAAACACATGTCTGAGTAAAGAGAATCTGAAAGTTTCAGGAAGAAAGACCCCCTCTCTTTTTGTCCTGATCCATTTATATAAAAACCTGTCTGAAAATGAGCTGATCAGATTTTGGCCACTTTATGATGTCATAACGATTTTTTGGCTTGTGTAACCATTAGGGGTGTAACGGTATCCGTATAATACAGATACGAATACCGTTACACCCCTAACTACATCATCGTTTTTATGCCATTGAAGACCAGTTTTGACCAGACAAAGACCAAGGTAAGCCATGTTAGCGTTTTTGTTAGGATAAGCTTTTGTTATTTTCTCCACGAATTTGTAATCTTTGAGTGTTGAGGTGGGTACCAATAGATTCTGTGTCTCCTTACGATCATAAACGATGTGTTGGATGTGCAGCTAGGATAAGTAATAAAGGTGCTAGTGTTAGCATTTAGAGTTTTTTTTGAAAAAAAAAAATGAAAAAGATCAGTTAAATTAGTTTGTTTCCGTTATATGGATATAAAACATTCATAGTTTATTAAATATGAAGGTTCCTTAGACGCCGTTTCCTTCAAATGACGCGATTTCGGCCCCGGATACGGGTCCGTGGGGCTTAAGAGGTTTTAAACAACAAATGAAGAACAAGAAGAAACACAACAACAAAACGAACAAAATACAAGAAGAAGAAAAGTTAGTTTGGCGATTTCAGATAACACACAGGAGCTAGAACCCACCTGCTTCTTTTAAATCAGCTGTGTGGGAACATGTCGGGTTCCCTGTGGACTACAATAACGATGGAGGTGCGAGTGGTGGATCGGACGAGGACGGTGTGTCGGCGTTGTTCGATAGCGGTGCCGTATGCTAATGGAAACACACGCCAAACATGCTAAATCATATCAGAAGGCATCACCCAGATCACCGGAGCCCGGCAAAAGACAACAGCAGTTCAGCAGCTTATCCCCGCTGTTTTTAATAAACCAATAGACATGAAAGCCGAGAGACCAAAATAAATAACCAAAGCTTTTGGCATATGTTTTTCAACGGCTATGCGCTCTTGAAACACTTTCTTATTATTTATGAGGTAATATTTTCAAGACATTCTTTTTAGTTTTACAGCTTGATGAAACCTTTTTGTTTGACATCAGCCATTATAGATAATATAGCCATCTGAGTGTGTGGTACTGTTTGTGGTTTGTTTTTAACTGTTTAATACAGTTAATTATTCAAAATGTCAGAGTTCCTTATTTTTAAACTGAAACTTGCACTACTGTTCAAACATAAATAACAAACCTGGAATTATGCATTTGGGTCTTTGTTTTGCTTTTTCTTGTTGTACCGAACCGTGACCCCCAAACCGAGGTACGAACCAAACCGTGACTTCTGTGAACCGTTACACCCCTAGTAACCATTAGCCAATAATCAACCAAGGTAACCCCAACCCCCCCCCCCCACCTTATCACCTGAATCTCCTCCTAGAGCACCATTGTGTTCTTTTTAACCAAATCTCTCTCAGAGGGGCGTGGGGAGTGGCTCCTTATTTTCATCTAAAGTAACAGACAGAGAATCAGCACTTTGGAAACAGGGCTGAAACAGAGGGGATTATGGGATGCTGCAATGATCTGTTTGGTATTTAGAGAAAAAAAATTAATTGACATGTTTTGTATATATCAGAGACCTATAATATATTGATGAAAAACAGTATAATAGGGGACCTTTAAGTGAAACAATTAAAGTGAAATTCATTCTGCACAGAGAAGAAAAAACACTGTGTATTTGTTAGATAATCTTGTTATTGCCCTGGACCTCTCCCTCACGGCCCTGGATTATAGCTTCAGTTTTAGCTCTCACTTAAACAAGATGTCTGAACTCCATGTGCACTTCCTCTCCACTCTCAGACCTTCTGCAGTTATCACCCTGCGGGGGCGAGGGCAGCTGGGCTAACCCGCTCTAACCCTCCAAACGATGGTCATGTTCGAGCACTGCTGGAGGGGTGCTACAGTCAGACTGCCCTCTCTTTTTCTGTCCTTTTCACCCTGACGGCATTCTGCTCTCCCTGCAGTGTGCCGGCCTTGAACAGTGCGTGGCTGCAGCAGAGGACTGAGAGTGAGTGACAGCTGGTGTGGGAGGAAAGTAGAAGGTGGTGATAAGAAAAACAACTGAGGGCATATCCTCTCTCCGACCGCTACACAGCAGAACTGCAGCAGAGAGACTGTCAGCTCCAAACCTCCTGGTATTTTCACTGCATTCTCATTATTCAGAAATACTGGATTATATAAATGTAATATGACATTTTTAAAGTCTCTTTCCACTAATGTGTAGAGTGCAACTTAATATATTTAGTACATGTTTGGTTTGAACTGTCATTCCTTTACCAAATGTATTTAGTTCAGTTTCCTGGAATCATGGATTTAGTTTAAGTTATTCACTTAATTTTTGGAATTCATACATACTGCACCTTTAAACTTGTAACTACATAGGGGACGCATCTCACTTTTGCAGTGCTTGTGTACATATATTTTGATTCATGGTCTACCAACTGTGAAACCAGGTAATTCAACAAGTCATTCAGATGTTACAAGCAGGCCGAATACAACCCCGTATCTCATACAATAGAACGTTTTCTTTGCTTGTGTGTAAGGAACAATATGGAAAAATAAGCAACTTAAAACAGGGCATTTTAATTGTATTAATAGTGCTTGAACATGAATTGATAGAATGTTAAAGAGGACATATAATGCTCATTTCCAGGTTCATATTTGTATTTTGTGATGTGGAATTGATGATTGGAATGTGATAGAAGTGCAACTGATACATAGTGATGTCATCATGTTGCAGAAGTAAAGAAACTCTAGATTTTAGCCTTTGCAGACCATTTGCATGCACCAAAAATGATATAACACACTAATAAAAGCATAATAGTACCTTTTTAACAGTATTTAGGGATGAACTGATTACACTTTCTTTTAAAGGTAATTCTGAAACGTACTGTGTAAACCCATGAGCTTCATAGTCCTGAGCCAATATCCTGAAGATGTACCATAACACCTTCCTACCTGCAAGTGTAGGCTTTTCTATTCATCCAGACAAACACCTACTGAGCTGAGAGGCGATGTGCTGAGTTGGTGTGAGGCACTATCACTGCAGGGATCAGAGCATGGCTGTGTTAAAGCGCTCACATCATCCAGCCTCCTGACAGCGAGCCATATCCCAACAGAGAGCCATCACTGCTGAGGATTAGGGTAATAGGAGGCTAAAGCCTAGATATAATATGCCAATGTGCTAATGGTACTCTGGTTCCTGGAAAACATCTTCAAGGTCATATTGCATTGCTGAACAAAAAGGTTACGAGTGGTGTGTTAGCAATGGGATTTAATGTTCTAAAATCTTCTATAACAAATGTACATTAAAGGTCCCCTATTATACTGTTTTTCATCAAGATATTATAGGTCTCAGATATACAAAACATGTCTCTGAAGTGTTTGGCTCCAAATACCAAACAAATCATGCATTGTAGCATCCCATAATCCCCTCTGTTTCAGCCCTGTTTCAAAAGTGCTGATTCTCTGTCTGTTACTTTAGATGAAAATAAGGAGCCACTCCCCACGCCCCTCTGAGAGGTATTTGGTTAAAAAAACACAATGGTGCTCTAGGAGGAGATTCAGGTGATAAGGTGGGGGGGGGGGGGGGTTACCTTGGTTGGTTGTTGGCTAATGGTTACACAAGCCAACACATTGTTATGACATCATAAAGTGGCCAAAATCTAATTTTCAGACAGGTTTTTATATAAATGGATCAGGACAAAAAGTGAGAATATTTTTTCCTGAAATGTTCAGAGTCTCTTTACACAGAGGGGACACATGTTTATGTAGAAAATACATGAAAAAGTAGATTTTGCAGAATAGGTGACCTTTAAACATATCTCACCTCGCACTTATCCACCACTGGCTGCTGCACACAGTCGGAGTTGTTTCCCGCTGTACCAGCTTTCTGCCCCTCATTTTCGCCGGTGCCCTCCTCTGAATGGGTTCTGCTCTGGTTGCCACGGTGACCAGCGTTCTGGAGGCGTGCAGACGGGCTCCTGGGGGGGCGGCTGAGCTCCCGGCGCAGCGCCCGATTCTCCTCCTCCACGGCACGGACACGCAGCTCTAAGGCATGCCGATCAACGGCTCCGCCCACCGTCGTCGATGATTGGGCTTCCAATGGAGACAAAGGGAGGGGCTTCACTGTGGGGCAAAAAACAATGTGTAAGAGATAGGGAAACATAATGCAAGATGTGAAAGGTCTTGGTGTCGGTTTTTTTCCTGGAAATTCAACAAATGAAATACACATTACAAACGAAAATGTGGTGAATCTGATCTTTTTACAAGTGATATAACACATCCAGCGATGGACAGAGATGGCAAAAGTACACACATCCTTTACTCAAGTAGAAGTACAGATATTCGTGGTTAAAAATACTCTGGTAAAAGTAGAAGTACTGACTAAACTTCTTTGCTCAAGTAAAAGTAAAGAAGTTTGGGCTTCGAAATATACTTAAGTAAAAAGTACCCATAACTACCAGCTGTTTTAAAGAGCAACTTTAACTGACCTCCCTTTATATTAATAGAACAATAATGTCATTGTTAGCTAATGAATGTTTCCATGCTGAACAACGGCAACGTTTTCATTGGTCCCTCTTCTTTAGAGAAGACCAGGAAGTGATGGATACACGGATCGTGTTCAAATCAATAGGCACGCAATGACTCTAAATAATAATGATCATGCCACAAAACACAGATTAAAACTAAAGTAACAAACCTGTTTTAGAAATATAAGAAGTAGAAAGTACAGGTATTTGTGTTAAAAATGTAAGAAGTAAAAGTAAAAAGTCGTCAGAAAAAGTTAGTGGAGTAAAGTACTGATACCAGAAAAATGTACTTAAGTACAGTAACAAAGCATTTGTACTCCACTACTTCCCACCTCTGGTGATGGAAATAACCCCAACACAACCTGACACTTATAACAACGTCTGTAAAATCAAACAATTATTTATCGTTTCGCTGTATTCATTTTTCATTTAACAGTTGAATTAGATTTCCTGTAAACAAGCGACAAAGTAAAGCAATCAACCATAAAGCACATCAAATACTACATTAAGTGCTGACTCGGCACATGTGTTGACTGCCTGTCGTTTCTGGTGATTTATCACCTTAACTCTTTACGGTTTATACCTACATTTATTTTTTATTACACCTGGGCTGCGTTCCAAATAACATACACACTCCTTGCTTTTAGTATGTACTGCAGCTTCCGTGCAGAGAATGAACCGTTTCATGCAGTGGCTATACAATCTGGACTACTTAGTCATTACATCGTACCTATGTAGGGATTGCAGGTCAATAGCCATAACAGTATGTCGGCTCCCATACTGCAGTGCGCGACAGGATGCAGAAGGACATCCTGGTATTTTTCCCATACTTCATTTCACACACTTTGTATCAAGACATGCTATATCTCTTTTCTAGCATATTAACTAGCATGGTAGTTATTCGGAATTGGGACGTAAAGCTGGTTTGTTGTCTGCAACCAACAGCATGTTTTCCTTTAGTATTTATAAATTCTTCAATGCACTTTCAGGTTTTTAAATCAGGATCCTTATCCCGTGACTTTAAATGCTCTTTTTATCTCCTCTTACATTATCATTAAATGTAGATACCAACATCAGGGGTGTCAGCTCAGATTATCCCGCTTCATGAATAATTATTGTAAGACCCATTGAACTCTTGTGGATAGGCAACTATAAACCTCGAATGCTTATCTAGATTATGATTGTACTTTAAAGCAACACATTCATGTTGTAGACCCCTGTCTTTTACTTAAAGGGGACATATAATGGAAGACTCACTTTTTCAGTTATTTGGGGTACGATGAGTGCCTTGAAAATACAAGCTGGGAAAAATACAACTCTATCCCAGGGACTGACGGATAACACAACTAAATGTAAATAGTAGGGCCGGGACTTTAACGCGTTAATTAAGATTAATTAATTACACAAAAATTAACGCGTTAAAAAAATTAACGCATTTTAATCGCACTTATTTTTGCACCGCGGAACGTTTCTCACTGGATGAGTTTCAGGCGTACCGATTATACTGGAGCACCAACTAACGTTCATGACTTCAGACAACAACAAACCACAGTGAACAACAGTGGGAAATGTTGTTTTAAAAAACGGACGGATGGAAGCGTCGATAAGAGCACGGTTGTGTGCAAATTATGCAAAAAGGAATTCGCATATCACTGCAGCACATCAAGCCTCAAGTATCACCTCAATGCAAAACATATAGCAGCTAGCGTGGAAGCTAGCGTGGACGTTAGCCTCTTTTATCGCGTTCACACCAAAAAGAGCAGGTACTAAAATTAGTTCATGAGAACCTTTTTACCCCCACGAAAGTCCCTGCTAGAGAGCAGAGAGCTGCTAGAGAGCAGGGACTTTCGTACGGCTCTCTTGTGAGAAAAGAGCTATATTTCTGATTGGCTGGGCGGATTGCAAACCACGCCCCGTAAAACTCCCAAAAAGTGTTGTGAAGCCGCCATTTTATTATCCTGGCATTAGCATTATTAGCATTAGCATTATCCCAGCGCAGAAACGCAGAGAGACTAACTTATGGCAACACAAAATAAAACATAGGAGCGGTGGAGATGAGGAGGTGTCGGCGTTCTGGCGATTTACTCGGAAGGCTGCTGGGACTCCCAGCAGCTTCTACTGAAGCCAGTCCCCAACTCCGGGGACTTCCGGCCGGGGACTTTGGGCGGCAGTATACGCCGTGAAGTGGTTTGCGGCCTGCCAGTAAACCCAAAGCAGAAGAAGAAGAAGTGACGTCAGCGGCTTCATTTGCCTAATCCACCCCCAGGTTCAAAGAGTTCTCATGAACTAAGTTCTCATGAACCTTTGTGGGAAAAGTACTGCGGTGTGAATGCGCCTAATGGTATACTAAAATCCATGTCTAAAATCTCACTGTTCTTAGGTCAAATATTTATATGTTATTAAAAATGCGATTAATTTCGATTAATTAATCACAAAGCCTCTAATTAATTAGATTAATTTTTTTAATCGAGTCCCGGCCCTAGTAAATAGCTTAAGATTTATTTCAAAGTTAAAATGATATGTTATACATCTTCATTGGACTAGCATACTGTCAAAAGAACTAGAAGACATAGAATTCTCTTTTTTTATCATTGCACAAGGTACAGCAATAATTAGCGTACAATGCTACTGTATCTTCAAACAGAACTCTTCCTTAAGAAGCAGCTGTTTTTCATTGTTAAACTCTGATTTTCTTTGGGTTTCTCTATCATTATAATATCCCCCATAGGGCGTATGGGGCTTTACATTTTAGGATCAAAGTGATGATATATCTCACGTTTGGGAGGACACACATATCTCTCCATCAGAGCTGTCAGAACAGCAGATAATTTTGCACTCTGCCTATCTAATCCAAGTCAGTAGCAATATTCCTCTGCTCTTCTCTGACTGCTTCAAATGTGAACAAGCAGCCCTGCGTCTTCGAAGAGAGGCAGAGGGATGAATCTTTCGAGAGAAGATGAAGCTCTATTGGAAACTTCAGCTCCCAGAGGGTTGGGGGAGGCCTTGGTTGAAGATCATTAAATAATACAATGGGTTCTCCTCCACAATCTCACTGGGGAACACAGACAGCCTTGGAAAACTCCACATATTACAGTATGGCAGGAGACCAGAGGCATTAGAGCTCGCATTACATGTATTGATCGGTGTTGGGTAATAGATGGCTTTCCAGGATGATACCATCTGTCATCTGTGTCAACAACCAGTTGCGTTCCCCCAACTGGGAGATGTCCTGGTCCCAGTTCAACACAGGCAGATAAACATCCCTGTACTGAGAAGGCCTACAGAGAATATACCAATAAATTCCAACACATTTGCAACTCTTTCATTAAATGAAAAGATGGCTGGAATTAATTAAAGTAATGTTCTCTTTGGTCTCAGCTCGGTGTTCTTTAACAATGTGTTTTAATGAATTGACTGATTGATTTCCTTCACATTTTTGTCCCTTGTGGTCATTTTATATTAAGGCAGTCAGAATGGGTCCTTTCAACCATGGAGGGTTACTAAGCCCTCTCCCACAGAACCAAAGCACCTTCTGGGCTCCATTTTGTCCAAACTGTCGTTAATTTGCAAAGAGGATTTGGTGGACTTAATCCCACTGAACTGGCCATTTGTTTGTGCTGCGCAGAGATTGCATATGGCAGCAGATGGACCGGGTCTTTAATGCAGCCAAATTAATCTGGCTTTCAGGTATTTGTTGTTAAGCTCATCGCCTACATGCAAACAAAAGTCTCCATGAAAAACATTTATGCAGTGTATTTGTATTAAAACAGACCAGGTTAATAATGCTTGCTAAGCTTACAACTTTTTTAAAAGGAAAACTCAAACTCAAGCATAAATAAAATATATTTTGATGTAGGAAAATTATAATTTCTGTAAACCTTTAAGGACTTTGTTTATTTGCCTACTTTTAGTCTTAATTCGAATGTAAAATAAAAACCATAACGACCCATTGCAATAAATGTAAACTGAGCATTACATTATAATGTTATCCTGCCGCAGGTTGTATCTTCTGAGGTATGTTTATGACCATATAAATGTTAACTGTCTGCCCAGAATGATAACCTGTTGTTGAGGCTCAATGTTAAGTCAGGACAATGCGACACACTCTGCAAACATATTGGATTTAAACATTAGTTATGCCCCGGGCCAACATTTTATCCCTCTGAGCAGTTAGGAGACATCTGTAGGCTCACAAAAAATATATTTGAAGATACAATCTGCTGCTGCTGGAGAACAGGTATATAACGTTTCCTCAAAGGTTTCTGTAGGGAACCTTATGTGGAGAATAGAGTAATTTATAGGGTTGTGTGGGCAACTACAGGGCAAAATTGAAGCAGGACGTTGGTTTTCAAACAGTTAAGACAACCTTCTTTAAAATCGGGGATTGGTTTTAACCTGTGTCTCTTGACTGGTCAGACAAAAAAAACAACGAAATTAACATTTCATAAAGCTTATTGTCAAAGCATGTGTTATCTACACGAGTCAAGTACCATTATATATTAACCAACCAACCTAATAAAGGGTTTGATCTGCCTAACAACAGCAACCTTGCTGATGTCTCACGGAGAGATACAGCAGGTCCTTCCATCCTGCAGT